GCGCAGACAGGGGGAGAGACCTGGTGGGAGAGACCTGGCTCTGCTCAGGCCTGGAGTACAGTCAGCTGCCTCAGTCACTGACCAGCTAGCTGTGTGGCCTTGGGCACACCACTCCTCTGGGCCTCAGTCTCCTCCACTGCAAAATGGAGAAATTAATAGCCAGTCTTTGGGACAGGAGAGGATGCCTGTGATGTGGCTTTTAGGCCTCACTTCATAAACACAAGTCTGCATGGCAAAGACTTCATCCTCTTCCAGGGTAAGGACTTGGGGCACTTTTAGAGCATAAGAAGGCACTGAAAAGGCAGAAAACGGAACCCCGGCCTCAGGAAGGGAAGGAAGCAGAGGGAGTAGATGGCGCCCAGCACCTGAGCTCAGCAAATTAGACCCCAGCCTGGGATTCTGGCCTGGAAGCTGTGACCACCCAGGGAAAAACAGGAAGGATCTGGTTATGTAATTCTCTTGTGGCCCAGGGCAAACCTATGTAGCCAGGCCAAAGCCAAGCTATATTTTTCTGAACCCTCGCCGACCAGCTGGACCTGCTGAATGGAGGAGGGTGGGTTGGCATGAACAGCCCACAGCCTTTGTAGGCTCTGTGTTTGTTAGCAATCACCGCATAACAAGTTGCTGCCATCTTGAGTGGCTTAAAACATGCCAACATTTATTATCTCATATGGTCTTAGGAATTGAGGACTTTTGCCTTTTTGTGGTACTAGGCAGTGAATCCAGGGAATTTGCAATGAGCTTCTGCCCAGCCCTTTTTTTTTTTTTTTTTTAAATCTTTTTTATTTATTTGGTACAGGGTCTCCCTACGCAGCTTGGACTCATAGTGAACCTCCTGTCTCAGCCTCCCCAGCTCTGGGATTACAGATGTGGGCCACCACACCTGGTTTTGGTGGCTGGCTGGGTGCAGGGCCGGCATGGCATGTGGTACTGGGGCTAGAACTCCGGTTCTTGAGCTTGCCGGGAAGGCACATAGACCACTGACCTATTGCCTTAGCCCCTCCCCAGCAATTAAATTTTTTTTAAATTTTGTGATGTTTTCACTAAGTTGATGGGGAGGGCAGACTTGCCATTCTCCTGCCTCAGCCTCCCAGAGCGAGGGGATTACAGCCCTGCCCTACCACACCCAACTAAAGCAAAGCTTGGTTCAGTCTGTGGGTTAAATGGTTTCATGAAATTGTCTGAATAAAAGGGCTGGTGATGCAGAGTCCACTTCAGAGACGGTCTATCATGGAGCTGCTCTTGCCGGCTGGTGGCAGGGGGGTCTCGGTTCCTCATCACGGGCCTCTTCCCACAGCTGCTTGCGTGGGCTCCTGACTTGGTGGCCAGCTTGCCCCAGAGATGAGTTCAGGAAAGAAGAAGCCACAGTGCTCTGATAACCTGGTCTCCGAAGTCACGTGGTGTCCTTTCATTAAGTCCTGCCTGCACTCCTGCTGAGGGAGTCAGGCTCGGCCTTTTCGAGGGAGGTGTACATGAGGTGTGCACAAGGACTCAGGGACGGTGTGTGTGGTAGTCGGGACACAAGCCAGGCCCTTGTGCATGGGACGTAAGCGCTCTGCCACTGAGCGCTAGCTCATGGCAAGTCTTCTGCCTCAGCCTCCAGAGTGCTGGGTTTATACACACCCGGCTACAAGTTCAGTTCTTTAACACTACTGGCCATAGTTGGGGACAGCTCAATGGCATAAATGACTGTCTTGCAAGCACAGGGTCCCAAGTTCAATCTCTGGTACCACCAAAAAAAAGTAATAAGAATAGTCACAACTCAAGTGCCCCATGATTTTACCTCTATTATCATGACTCTTACAAGTTTCCTATTGCTATTTTATACTTGTATTATATTAAATATATTTATTGCCATTAAAATTAACAGATTTATTATTGCTGCCTGAGCCAAAAACATGCTTAAGTATGTTAAGTATGACTCTGCATCCCCAGTCCCGTTGTTATTTGTTTATAATCCTAGACCAGTTGACTGTTATTCTGAATTATTACTGATATCCTATCGTCACTTAGGTTTACATTTTGCTCTCTAAGTGTTGAAGACTGAGCCCAGGAAATGCTGAGCTACATCCTGAGCCCTTTTATATTTTTCTCTATTTCCTTATTTATTTTTTTTTGCGGAACCAGGGATTGAACTCAGGCCCTTGCGCTTGCCAAGGAAGCGCTTATTCCACTGAGCCATCTCCCCGGCCCTCCTTATTTATTTATTTATTTTCAGAACCAGGGATTGAACTCAGGCCCTTGCGCTTGCCAGGGAAGCGCTTATTCCATTGAGCCATCTCCCCGGCCCCTCCTTTTTATTTTTTAAGAGGAGGTCTTACTAAGTTGCCCAGGCTGACCTCGAGTTCAGAGACCTCCTGCCTCAGTTTCCCAAGCAGCTGGGATTCTAGGTATGTGCCACCCTGGCTGGCTTCTAGCTTGACTATTAATCCTATAACAGCTAACAGTAACTATTGTTATTAAACCAGTGAATTAGACCAGTTTACATTATTGACAGTTATTAAAGGTTTTATTAATCCCGTACCAGTTTAGTTAATTATTAATATTAATTTGTTAACATAAATATGAATAGCATTGATCCTTGATGATTTATTACTGCTTTGTTACTGACTGGTGAGCTGTGGAGATTAATGTTACTAACGTGACTAGAAAAGCCATCGGCTGTTGTCCATGGTTTCTTCCTGCTGCGGACTCTGGCCTGGTTCTGGCTTCCTCAGGGAGGCCCCCCGGCTTCTTGCCTCTTTCGCAGTAGGAAGGAAGGGCGGTTGGACCCGGCCCCAGACTGGCCTCGCCACCAGCTTCCGGAGCCACCAATCAGCGTGGGAATTGGAGCAACCTTTCTCCTCCAGGCCTCCCGCTCCGCGAGGGGGGCGGAGCCGCCCGCCTCTTGCAACCCAGAAGTGGGGATCCCCGCGAGCCAGCGGATCGTGCTATGGGGGTGCAAACCCTCTTCCTGCCGGAGGAAAAGAAGGAGAACGGGAGCGGTTTCTGGCTCGCGGGACACACTCAACCCGGCGGCCCCGGGCGAGAACTAAGCGAGGAAGGAAGCTAGTTTGGGCCTCACCGAGAAATCTGGCAGGCGGGCGAGGAGGCCCGAACCGTGATTAAAAAGGGGGAGAACCACAAGTCCCCATTTAAGTCAGCATAGCTGCCTTTGGGCAGCGAGAGGGAAAGTGCTTGTGGCTGGCAGATTTCAACAACCATTTGGCAAAGGCTGCGAACCTGGCTGCTCCCTGTAAGAGGGCCACCTAGCAGGTGCCCCTGTGGGCCAGCGGCCACTCTTCCCTGACTCAGTCTCCCCACCTGTAAGAAAGAGCTAATACGGAATTATTAGTGTACACTTCCTGGCCTGAAAACCTGCCCTCCTTGTCCTACCTCCTCAGATGCTGCTTCCTAGTGGGGCTACCTACTGGAGACTTCCGAGCTTGCATCAAAGACCAACAGGGCCTTCTCTGCTCAGAATACACCATGGATCCCCGCTGCCCTCAAAACAATTCCCAGACGCCTACCTGGAGCTTCAAGACACCATTTGATAGGGCTGCGTCTCCAACTTCATCTCTGTCACTGATCAGTGTGGATACTTTTCGGCCCTGTTGGCTTTCTTCCAACTCACCATATATTCCCACCCCAGGACCTTTGCACTTGCCCTTCCTGTATCCCAGAATGCCCTGGATCCTCCTTGGCATGGGGAGAGGGGGTGGATCCTCAGCGCAAATGTTAGCTTCTCCAACATGTCTCAGACAGCTCCTTCCCACTCTCCACTACATTACTGTTTCGTTAGCTTTGTAAGTTGTCCCCTTCATTTATTTGTTCACGGTTTTGTGGTTTCTTCAAGGCCGTTGGACTCCAGGGATCCCACAACAAAACAGCTGCCTTAGCCATCTGTTTGGAGTCTGGAAATCCCCAATTTTTGGAGTCCCCCTTCTCGCAGGCTGACAGCAAGACAGACACCCTTGCAACATGTCCCGGGGTAGGAGGCCCTTGCTGCCTGCTGCAAGGCCATCCCATTTGCACCCTCCAGATAACCAGAGCACTGGGCACTCTTACTACAGTGTATTTCCATTTCACAGATGAGGAAACTGAGGAATGGACAAGTCAAGTCACTAGCCTGGGTGCTAAGCGGGAGGCGGTGGCCTGAGGCCTGGGCAGGGTTGAAGTGGCCCTCGAGGGGACGTAGGCGGCCGGCTTCCTGTTGGGGAGGGGAGTAGACTTTCTCCCGCCCCTCAGCCCGTTTGGGGAGGCCAGGGACCGACAGCTCCAGCCAGATTAGGGGTGCCCCACAGCCAGCCGCAACTCCATGAAGACCTCGAGTACAAGGTAAGGCCCGATGCCCGCAAACGTGGAGGCCCACAGGCACGGCCGAGGGCCAGGTGGGCTTCCTGGAGCCGCTGACGCTCTCTGGACAGGGCCGCGTGGCCAGGTGGAGGGGGGCTGGTCTATACGGCACACCAGAGACCGCACCAAGGATGTGCACAGAGTCTGACGCAGGTCAGCTTGGCGGCGTCGCGGGTAGTCGGGGCTGGGCCCCCTTCCCCAGTGATGATGAAAGCAGCCGTCGCTATTGCACCGTCAGACCGGGCGGGCGCCGATAAGGCCCCGCGGGAGGGGGCGCGCGCCCACGAGGCCCGAGACTCTACCCGCCCCGCCGAGCTCCGTCCCTTTCATGTGGCCCCGCCCACCGAGGCACCCGGTTACTGGTAGCTTTGGGTGGGCGGAGCCAAGAATGCCTCTTCCCTTTGGTCCTCCCCTAGCTTTAGGTGGTGCCTTGGAAAATACGGTGGGTTTGTGGGCGTGGCGCAACGAGGCCCCGCCTCTCGGCCCCGCCTCTCGCCCCCGCACGCGCCCGAAGCTCCTAGGACCTGGCGCGCCGCGAGGACCGCGTTTAGTGGGCGGAGCCTGTGTCCGACTCCTCCCCTAGGCTGCACCCCTGCAGCCGAGGCAGCTCGCGGCGGGCCGGGGCGTGGCTGCCCGATGCCCCTCCCCCGCCGGGCAACGCGCTCTCAGCCGGTTCCTCTTTACATAACGGCGCGGGGCGGCATGGGCTCGGGCCACCGCCTCCGCCCGGCCGCCCGCCCGGACTGTCGCGGCCCGCGGTGGCCACGGCAGCAGCAGCAGGAAAGTTTCCCCGGTGGCGGCCCAGGGGCGCATCCTCCCGCAACTGTCAAGCGCTGGCGGCGGAAATGATGAGGCGCTGGCCATTTTCCGAGCCTGGGTTTCCTGCCTGAGCCCCGCTCCTCAGAGCCGCGGGTGAGGAGCCGGCGCGCGGGAGAGGACGCGCCGGGGGCGGGGAACCGCCCGCCCTCCTCAGGACTTCGGGGGTCCGGGAGAGCGCGTCGCCATGGGCCGGCGGGGCCCGGAGTCCCTGCCTCTCAGGTAAGTTCGCGGCCCTCCTCGAGGTTCGAGGGGGAAGAGGAGGCCCTGCGCGTGGTTCTTCTCTGTCCGCCCTCCTCCGGGGCGACCCAGCGCTGTCGTGCAACCCTCCGAGGCGTCCGAGGGCGACCCTTTCCTGGCTCCTGTGACACCACCCGGCGACACCCCCACCCACCCACACACGTGCTGGGCGTGTAGTGGTAGCTGAGGCGGCCTCGGTGCTGAGAGAGGGCAGCGCTGATACCCGTAGGCCACCCTAAAGCAGCCATGGGAAGAGCGGCCCCGCAGCCTGTACCTGGTGACAGGGTAGGGAGGTCAGCCTGGCTACCTTGAAAGTGAAAGTCAGACTGAGGCTGGGAATGGTTAGCCCGAGGTGGGGAGCCCTCGGGCTAAGTTGGCTCTGTGGTTTGCTAAGCCCTTCTCTCGAGTCCCTGCACTGCCCAGGTGGGCCAGGGCGAACACCCACACCTCTCAACTTGAGGGGTTCACCGGGGTCAGGAGCCCCTGGACTGGGGCTCCCAGAGAATTCCTCCACTGAGACAAGAGTAGAAGGTGTGGATCCTAGAGCTCAGCACTGCCGAGTGGTATTTCAGAGGCCTTTAATCCCTGCTGCAGAAATCCCCTCCCTTTCCTCCCTCTGACATGGGAGCTTTTGGAGGGGAGATGCATTTGAGGAACTAAAGAGGGGTCTGCCTGAGTGTCCCGCTTCTTTTTTCTTGAGTTTCCTCATTCTGTTTCTCTTCCCCATTCCCGGCACCACAGTGATGTAGGTGAGGAGGTCATTGCTTGCAGCTGGGGACCTCCAGGGATGGTCATAGCCAGGCTGGGCTGAGTGGGAGGAAGTGAAATTGGGTGGAGGGTGGGGGCTTCAGAGCAGAGGGCTTGGCAAGGTGACATCTGCAGGGCCAAAGTCCTGTTTTGGTAACAGGAGACACTGAGATTTGACCAACACCCCCTTGCCTGGGAAATCAGCATCCTCTGACACCTGCCAGTGCTGGGCCTGAGGGGGCAGCAGGCCATCTACCCTTCATTTGCAGTCAGCCTCCAGTCCCCTGCCAGAGCTGCAGGTACATGTGTCTTACAGGGATGCACATACAACAAGTTGTATCTGGATTTCTCTTTGCTGACATAGCAGCTAGGGTGGAAACAGTTTCAAGGGTCTTTGGAGCCTGCAGGGGCTAGAGACCCAGTTTTGATAGGGGCAGAAGGGAGAGCCACCTGGGCCAGCTGGGCACCAGACAAGAAGTCAGAAGGGTTTTCAGAACACATTTTCTCTTTCTTTCTTTCTTTCTTTCTTTCTTTCTTTCTTTCTTTCTTTCTTTCTTTCTTTCTTTTTTCCAGAACACATTTTCTGAGCCTTTTCCCACAGCCCCCCTCTGGGAGGGAAGATTCTTCCTGACCAAAGGGTGACCATTTCTACAACTTGTGTGAGTTCCCAAGGGCCACAGGGGCAGCCAGCTGCGAAGGGGCTGGCCTGGAGTGTCTGAGGGCCTTCAGGGGCTCAGCAGTGGCAGGGGAAATAAACAGAAGAGGTTGTGGAGGCTGAGCTTCAATTCTCCTGTGGCCTCTTCCCAAGATGTGAGCACGGGCTAGTGATCTGTCCACCTCAGTTTTTCCCTTTGTAAAATGGGGTAATAACAGGTTTCCAGTGGGGATTTAATGAGCCAAAGTGTGAAAGTACCTGCTGCCTGCCACAGAGAAAGGACTCAATTACAGGGGTGGTGGTGGTGGTGGTGGTTATTTTTTCTTATTAATTGCCATCACGAGTATCATTGTCACCAGCTGTGATGTTCTTTGTCAGCTTCTGGAAGTACCTCCTTTACCACTCTGGAGTTCCCTGTCTCTGGGAGGATTTTGACAGTTTTGACAGCATGAGGTGATAGCTCTTCCTTGCTTACCCATCCTGGACATAGTTTCCTCATCTATCACCAGAACCATAACCGAGTGAATTCTCAGCATGTTAGGGGTTGTTATTACCTTTATTGTTGGGGAAGTTAGCTCTGCTCATTTTCTTCCCTTCTCCCCTTTGTCCCTTCACCTGACCCTCCTGTGAGCCTCAGAACTTTCTAATACAAGCCAGGACCTGCAAAGTTGCCAGGTGTGGCCCTGCTGGGCCACTCAGTGGCATTCACCACCTCTGGGGTGGAGCTGCCTCAGGGATGGGTCAGAGAGGAGGCACCTGGAAAGACCTCCTAGTCACCAGGCTGAGTGCTGCCTGCCCCTGGTGAGGGATAGGGTGCCTACCTGGCTATGAGGGGGGCTGGCAGGGACCTGTCCCCATTCTAGGTCAACATTACTCCCTTTACTGAAAAGACCTTTGGGGAGAAATTTATGGCTCCCACACCTCTAAGGGTTAGTTTCCTCCAGGATTTTTCATTGCTGGAATTGTGAAGTAGGCTGCTTAACCTCTCTGAGGCAGTTAAGCTGATATGCATCAGTGGAGGGGTTATAACAGTTATGGAGGGGGGCCGGGGAGATGGCTCAGTAGGATAAGCGCTTGACTGGCAAATGCAAGGATCTGAGTTCAATCCCCAGTTCCACCAAAAAAAAAAACAAAAAAAAAAAAACCAGTTATGGAGCTTGAGCAGACAGAACATATAGTGCCCAATTTGGGCCTGGCACTCAATGAATAGTAGTAGATATTATTATTGCTATTATTTTTGGTGGTACAGGGATCAAACACAGGACCTTGCACTTGCCATGGAAGCACTTATTCCATTGAGCTATCTCCCCAGCCCCCAATGGTAGATATTATCATCATTATTTTTACTAAAATGAGAGGTCTTTCCTGTTAAATTCCCACTTCTCCCTGCTATAATTTGGACTTTGGGACCAAATCTGAGCTCTGACAGCTTCTAGCTGTGGGGCCTTGGGCAAGTCCTGTGGGAGCCAAGAGCCTGGGTCCTTCTGAAGGAATTGTGAAGTATATGAGCCTGGCATAGAGTGAGAACTTAAACTATGTTGGCAGTAATTGCCCTTGCTGGATGACCTGGGGCTCATTCTCCGCCTCTCTGAGCTACTAATGGCTACCTGACAAGTGTTTAGAGAAGAGGAGCGTGGAGGCAGACCTCACTAAGCATACCTGCAGTTAATGCCCGAGAGGGTAGCATTTAATGGCCAGGTTTCCTAGGAAAATGATCCCCAGGACTCAAGGTCCAGCACCTTTGCCTGGGTGTGGCAAGAAATTGTTTCCATCTGGCATATGAGCTGTGCTCTCAGACCTGGTTCCTGCTGCCCACCCTCCCTGAGGAAACTGAGGCTGGCAGGCTGCCCAAGGGAAGTGACTTGGTGGGGGTCACTTGCTGAGTCAGGCCTAATTGGATCCAGGAGCCCTGTCCTCCACCTTTCTGGCTTCTAGGGGCTTGAGGTCTCTCAGGGACTGTGCAGGTCCCAGGGCCTGGCAGCACATCCTTGGCCAAATCTGGACACCTGCCTGCTTAGGCAAGCAGTACCTATCTGTCAAGGCTCTGGGGTTTTGGGGCTCTGAGGTCCTCCTGGCCCTCTCTGGCCTGCCCGCCTAGCATTCTTCCTCCAGCAGAGGCAAGGGACACTTCCCCAGGGGAGCAGATCCTCCTGGTGGCCCTGGCCCCACTGCCCTGGCCGGAAACCCAGCAGCTGAGCAGATGGCTGAAAGATTTTTCCTCCCACGCCACCCTGTCAGGGGTCGGCAAGGGGGGGCTGGGCTGTGGGCTTCCTTGTGCGCCAGGCTTGTAGCCCCTGGGGGCCCATCCGGATGTGTTCCCCCCCCCCGTCAGCTAGGGGGGGCCAGCTGCTGCCCGGGACTTATGTCCCCAGGGAGGCCAGGGAGGGAGGAAGTCTGTGCCCTGCTAGCAAAGGCTGACTCACAGGGCGCCTGATGGGGGGCCCTGGAGGAGGGGATGGGGGACTCGGCACTGTCCAGCTGCTGGCAAGGTGGACACAAAAGAAGGCCTTGACATGGAGCCTAGCTTTTCAGACCTGTCATTCTAGAACCACCTTCAGGCGAGCCAGAGAAGATAGCATGTGTGGGGAGAAGGGTATAGGGGCTGGAGGGCTTGAATGTCTTCTGGCATTCTGAAGAGCAAGAGACTGTAGTGGCCTTTTAGGGGCTCCATTCAGTCTCACCTTTTTCCCTCAGTCCTGGGCAGGTAGAAGAAGGTGCCACATCCTGGGAGGGGATACAGTTCCTGGCTTTTCTTACCTATAGAACCTTGGTTGTAGTTGTTGCTGGCTTGGGGTGTCATGTTGGGAGTGCAGAGGAAGCCAGAGGACATTTCCTGAGCTGACAGTCTACTGACCTGATAAATATAGCTGGGCGGCAGGTGACCCAAGGGGGCATCAGGTGCTACCAGCTGCCCCATGTACCAGGGGAGTCCCTAGCCCTCAGCTGCTGCAAGGTCTCTGACTCCTGCTTCATGTGGCTTCTGTGCACTGGGAAGCTGGCAGTGAGGTCAGAGTGCCCTGGAGGTTCCCACCTCTCTGGCCTCCTTGGACACTTGATATTGTGGTACATAAGATTGCTGGATGTGGTGGTGCATGCCTGTAATTCCAGCACTCAGGAAGCTGAGGCAGGAGATCACCACAAGTTTGAGTCTAGTTTGGCCTACATGGAGAGTTCAAGATCAGCTTGAACTACATGGCAAGATCCTGTCTAAAAAAAAAAACAAAAACAAAAACAGTCCCTATGTCCTGGAGTTCATCCAGAGGCCTCCTGGGAGGAGATCGCTCATTTGCAGGTGTGACACTTTATCTGGGAGCTGAGGCCATGGAGGATGGAGGCCCTGGCCCAGCATACTTCAGCTTCCCAGTTTAAATAGCCTGCCACATACCTGACAGGCAGAATTCACACAGTGGGTGGAGGCTGTGTGATGCCTGGTCATTAGAGAGAAATGTGTTCCCGAGTTCTCTTACTACCCAGGGCACAGGGATAGAAGAGAGGCTGTTGAGCGTGATCTCTGGGGTCATGGGCTAGGGGCTTCCAGCTTTTCAGAATCTGAAGGTGGATGTCCTGGGCTGGGGGGCAC